CATGAGGTGGTGCAAAGCGACTGATCTCACTGAGTATAACTGAAGAGTGGACTGTGTAGCAGTGATGATGGTCGTTATTGGTTTAGCCATTTAACACAGAAGTAGAGGAGGAAGGAATGAGAAAAGAGAGAAGCAGAGGAAAAGGATAAAATTAGCTTACCAGCTTTTCAAAATTAACAAGGTTATCCAGAAACGTTTTATTTCCTTCATGGATGAATGTTACATCTGGAAAAAAAACCCAAAAACAATTATTATTAACAACCTCTTTGTTAATGTAAATAAATAATATTAGTAAACACCAACAAAAACTACATACAAACAAAAAAAACCCCAGAAAAACAAGGGAAATATCCCATTACGGATTGACACAATATCTTTTAACAGTGAAATAAAAGCCTGGCCTAATGATGGCATGCAGAGATTATTAGATAACAACATTTACATTTACACATTGTTAAGGAGAGTATTTTTAAGTGGGGACAAGGATTTCTTATTAAACCTGCTCTTCTGGGATACACAATATAGAGAAGATGGCTGGGAGCAGAGGAGGGCATCCAGAGGGGTGGCCCTGCATGGCCCAGGCTGGGACAGGTCTGTCCCTGAGCCCAGAGATACCAGATGCTGGAGCTGGCTCTGACACCCCTTCATCTCCCTGTGTGGGACAAAGGACAAAGTCCTCCCCAAAGACAAGGGCTACAGCCCTCTCTGGACAACCAGAGACACCAAAGTACAAAGCCTTGAAATAAGCATCATGTCTAGGGAAAAACATTTTTATGTAGTGCTGTTGAAGGGAATTTGCAAAGGCAACAAAAAGGTCAGAGGAAAAGGAAAAGGTCTATATTTGGCTCCAGGAAGAGAGCTGAACATAGTGTAATGAACTGGAGGGAGGGAATCTCAAGCAAAATAAATGTTGCCAAGTTAAGATTACAATTAAAATTGTAGCTCAAGGCCATTTTCTCTGTTTTTCTAATATGTATTAGGTCAGAAGTGAGACCTATCTTGAACATAAAGTACTAAGAATATGAATAGATTCCCTGTGGGAGTGCACTTCAACAGTGCACCCTCCAGGGTACAGAATGCACTGGCAGGAGCACCACAGCCATGGCCTCTTCAGCTCTCTCCCGCATGTGAGGGGACCCAGGAGATCCACGAGGAGAAAATACTGAAGGAGATGGCACTCTAATACCATTACTGCTGAAAAGTCACAGCTGCGTGTGCCCGTGTGAGAACAGCACACAGTAAATGGGACAAGTGTCCCTCTCAGCAGAGGGGTCAGCCTCCAGCCCAGCAGCCCATCTGTGCCCCTCAGCATTTCTCCTGTCCTCACCTCTAGGACTCCCTCTGATACCCACATGGACCCCATAGTTTTGGGGGATTTTAGGAGTGGAAACCTGCAGAGAAGCTTTGTCACACACCACTCCCCACCCATCTCTACCTTCACCCCCCCTGGAAACAGCCAACCTGATTTATTTCCTTGGGTTTCAATGGCTCACTCTGTGCCTGAGGGGCATTCTGTAATTGCTTGGAATTGAAATGCTAAACGGCTTCAAATGCTGCTGGAAACCCGGGGCTGGGACTCTCGTGGGGGTGATGGAGAGCTCCTGTGCCCCTAGGGTGGCTGGGCTGGGACAGGCAGGATGCCAGCATGGACGTGCAGAAAGCACAGCACATGCTGCCAAAACCTCCAGCACCTCTCCTGCCGCTGGGCTGCATCCTAAAAATCAGAGGGAAAGGAAGGAGCACGACCCTCTGCACCTCCTCTGCTGGGCTGCTTGGGGCGCCCAGGGAAAGGGACTCAGAAAGGACACGACTTCAGGACACAGGCAGTACTTGTGTCTGTATCAATGCAGTTAAAAACTGTCCATCACTTCTAATGAAAAACCTATACTGGAAGCACAAATTTCCACACAGCTTTTTAAGTCATTGACAGCAATGTGTGTATCTCTGAGGGCAGAAGGAACAGAAATTTGCTTTGCAGCCAACAACTAAGAGTCTAGATAAATTCAGTGGAGCAGAAAATTGCATCTGAACTAGGTTATAAGGGTATATCACAGTATTTTATTACACATTTGAAAAATCTGCCTGATTTTCAAAAGCTGTGTCTGTGTGCCGTGAGAGCTCTGCATTTAAATTTAATTAACTTTTAACAGGACACTCTGAAGTTATTTTTCATAATTTAAGATTTTTCATTTTTTTAATTGAAACTACTTTTGTTCCTACTGTGATGAAATACAGCAATTTGCTGAGTTATTAATGATTTCTATGTTACCATTCCTATTTTTTCCTGTCTTGGAAATGACCTTAATACAAATATGCTTGATATGCAATAAATTCCATTGCACTGTGCAATACTTTGGGAATTACCAACCTTGGCAACATCTCCTTATGGACCACTTTATTGAAGGACGTTACTGCATTAATTTCAAAGTCTTCTTGCTATCTCCAACACAAGTTAAAGATACAAATGCTGTCTAGGTACATGTTCTTATACACCATATTGTAATGCAGTGCAAACATCATTGCTACAAGTGACTTATGTCTGCTGCCTTTGTTTACAGGAAGACATACTCCAGAACACGTTAATTTTGAAGCTTTGATAATTGTATCCATCTGAATTAATGCAAACTCCTTTGATGTGTGCAAAGAGGGGAAATGTGTCTGGTGGCTCCCAAACTATCACCAACTATTCTGGAGAACTGCTTTCAAACATTTCACAGCAGCAGGTTGGAATAAACAGCCTAAAGAGAACACTTTCAGAATAGAGGAATAAACAAATGAATTTGCCATGTTCAAAGACCAGGCAATGAATAATTAATGACCCCAAGACAATAGAATATTTTAAATACTTGCCACTTTATTAGCTGCCCAGCTCACTGCATTAGCAAGTACATGTACTTTATTTTACGATGCTTTTTTAAAAAATTATTTTAGATAGTAAGATTTTATTTATCTCTTTCAGACCTATAAGAGACTTGGAAATCCCCTCCTCTAAGGACAGACAGACAGGGCAGGTTCTGCTTTCAGGTGGCACCAGGGCAGGCTCATCCCAGCAGAGCAGGGAGGCATCTCCCCCAGGCATCTCAGAGCAGCAGTGTGACCATGGCCACTGGTTCAGGGCCCTGCAGGGTCACACTTCTCTGCTGAAGAGGATGTGGCCAAAGCAAAAGCACACAGCTCTATCAACACTTAACAGGACAGTATGCAGTTTTAAGACCTGTGTGAAAATTGGGATCTTCCCACTGTCTTAAAAGAAGTTGTTTATTAATCAGACCAAGTGCTATGTTGTCAATACCACTATATCTGTCAAATACACATCTTAAGAGCATCTGAAGGAAAAATCACCTTACGCTTATTTTAATTAACAGTGAAGAGCAGCCAAGATTTAACATTACCTTTCAGAAGTAAGGGCATGAAGGGGATTTTTGGAGATTTCATTTTCTTGAATGCATCTCTGTAAGCTTTGTGATTCAGAGAAGGATCCTACAAAACCATTTGAGTAATAGACAGAAAAATCAATAGGCTATAAAAAGAGCAATTCTAAATCCATTACAGGCATATGATCTGAACATGGTTTAGATATAAAAGGTTTCTTTGGGATGCAAGGTAGCTAAAGGTTTTCTAAGCTAGCTGACATGCTAAACTGAACAGGAACATAAACAGTGAAAGGAACAAAAGCAATTATGTTCCTTTAGATGAAGCAGTGCTAAATTGAGAGGAAACTGCAGAATAGATTCACTTGGACTGCTCTATAATTTCCCCACAAATTTCTATTAGCAAAATCTCTTACTATACAGCACAAAACATATCCTGAATGTATTGCTGATCAACTTCTTTAAAAAAAATCAAAACAAACATCACCAAACAGCAACAAAAAATCCCAACAAAAACTGCTTTAAGATCCATGGAGCACGCTGGAGACTTTCAAAGAAAATAAAGTAGTATGTTTCAGTGGCATTATGTAGGCAGTTCAAAAAGTCATCTCAATTTCCAAGGTAAACCAGCTCACACAGAATCTTTAAAACACATCCATTTATAAAGAACCCCAAGTACAGAAGCATGACAGCTGGTAAAGGCTGTATCTCCTGTTCCCTGTGCCAGGCACTGATGTTACCATGCACCCACTTCCATGACAGCAAGAGGAAGCATTTGTTTATTCTGCTTTGATAATGCTGACAAAGATCCTCAAGCCTCAGATTTTGACATTTGTTTTTTTACAATTTGAGCTGGTCTTTTTTAATCCTGATCTGTAGCATATTGCTTCAGATAAAGGTTGATTAGCTACCAGGAAAAAAGAACAGCTCCCAGACTGATGCTGGTGAAACTACATTTGCCTCTCTCTGTCCTTCCTCCCTCTGTAAGGAGCAGAGCCTCTTTCCATTTCATGTTTGCAGACCACCTCAGAGCTCTGGAGAGCCACGTGGCCTTCAGCAAATCATGGATTTGACATGAATTGTCCAACCCCAGACAATAACAGGCCGACTCCAAATAAATAAGGAAGAAGGAATGCAGGTAAAGCTAGCAATGTTCTTCTGCTGTCAACACCATACTTACCGTCAAACTTTCAAGTTCAGTGAAAAGTTTCTTGAACTTCCCAGGAATTTTCTGAAGCGTGGAAAACAGAGAGGGAAAGAAAAAAAAAAAAAGAGAATTTGATTTAGGCAGAAAAATGCTGAAGAATTTCTTTCCTCGAGACTGCTCTGGGTGAAGTGCTGAAAGCACCAACACACACACTTAACCCCGGCTCCTCAGCTCCCAGGGCTCTAATTACAGATCACGTTCAGTGCAGTGCCAGCAAGGAACTGGCCCTGCAGCCTCCTCTTGGGGACCTGCATCCTTCTTTTATGGAAACTGCTTGTCAGCAGCTGGTTTTACTTTCTTCCCCAGCTTCTATGACTAAACATCCATATCAAGCTAGACGCAGTAACACAGGCTGAGAATTCAGGAACTGATTATATCCATGTTAAATCATTTGTTGTAATCAATCTGCCCCAGGATAGGGGTTCTAGAAATTAACAGATGTCCCACTCAGTGCTGTTTTATACATGATGCCAGTGCTGATAACGTTAACACTGCCACATACTGGCGCCAAAGTGAGACATTTCCTTAATAAACTGATTCCTCTGTCTCTGGTATCTGCTCCTAGCCACAGAGAGGTGCATAAAACACTTTCTAATGGAGCCCAGGCACAAACTACTGTCTTGCCCCTCCTGTCAACACCCCAAGCATCCACTTTCTTTGTCTCTAAAATGCTTTAATGGATTCACATCACTATACTCAAAGCAATGGTTTGCAATTTAAATTTTCATGCTGGTATTTCAGACTTGAAGAATGCTGTGTGGACCTTAAAGCCTGCCTATTTTTTCCAGCTATAGTGGCTAGTCTAGTAAAAGAGATCCCCTCTTAGCACAAATCCGGTCTTGTCTTTGTCCTTAGAACCTGACAGCCAGTGACATCACCAAGAGAAAAGAGATTTAGAACAATTAGATTAAGTGGATGTGCATTATTAAAATGCTAAAATGATTGAACATGGAACTGCAATTGCATGTTTTTTTCTATCTTAAATCAGGGAAAGTGAGGCTCATTAAAACACGGGATACTGTAGGAAAAAAATGTAGAATATGCTTGAGAGCATACTACTTGTTTAAGAAATCAAGTGCAGAGCCAATATGATTTAGTCTAAAGGGCTGCTTAAATTCAGGTTGTTTCATTTACATGTGTAAGTAATTATAATTAATTTAAAAACATTGCTCTACTTTCTAGAAGTCACATTACTAATGCAAATAACCTTCTGCTTTTGAACCTTCCAGNAAAAAAAAAAAAAAAAAAAAAAAAAGAAAGTATGTGACTTGATAAATATTTTACACACAGAAACGTGACATATTTACAGTGGTACATATGCAGATGCACTCTTTGTTCCGACAAGCAACATATTCTGCTCTTCCTGAGAGAAGTCCACCAGCAGCACATGATCTCCAGAGGCCTCAGCACAGAGCAGAGTCCTCTGTGTCTCTGTGCAGGAGAGATCTGTATCATTGCCTTTGAGACCATACTTTGTCTCTTCCACTCTGCTACCAAAGCCCAGAGAAATGGAATGAAAGCAGCTTAGGAAGAGGCCACAGCAAATGTTCCCCAGAGAGGTGTTTTAGAGAGATCAGAGGCAAGGGGTTTCTGTATCATCATCCTCAGGTATGTAGTTTCTCTAAAACTTTATATCTTATTTAAGTCAGCTCTTCCTTGCCTGAGTCCCTGTAAACAGTCACTGTCCTTGTTCCTCTGTGTGTCAAAGCCCCAGACGTACAAGTGATGTTTCCATATGCATGGCTTTCAGCAAAGGGGGGGGACTTTGCTCTGGACAGTGTCAGACAGGTTTGTAAGTCTTTAATGGCCCTTTGGTCCCAGCTGCTGGTGCTCGAGCATATCTCCAAGGCAGGAGATCACAGCCCTTCTCTGTCACTCTGTATTACAGATTGGTATTTCTGGAGTACTGCACACCTGTGGTGTTGATGGCGTGAAGGAGGGAGAAAGCTTCAATCCACCCTACTCAATTACTCCTTCCCCAGTATTTGGTTCATCAGGAGATACAACAGTAAACTTGCAGATACTGTAACTCAATATGGATGAGCTTTGGATGGGAACAAAAAATGCACAGCATAAATACAGATCCCAGTGGGACCCTCCTTTAAATGCACTCATGCTCTATGTAGCAACCAGTAGCTTTTTAAGCAAATAAGCTCTGTTCTCCAGTATCTTCCTTATTCATGGCTCGTTTCCTATCTTTGTTGTTAAAGATGAGCAGCTGCAAAAAAAAAACCCGATGAAAGACAACTAGAGAAGGTTTATTTCTACTTTGTTGTTTTGGCCTTTTAATTAAATTATTCCATAATAAGGTATTGCTTGTTTGGAGCCACCTTTGTAAGACTTTCCATT